CGCTCTTCCAAATTAATTAAAATGAAGACTGCAAAAGCTAGAGGAACAGCATCAGGTGGAATAAAGTAAATGGAACTACACAGCTTATGCCAATAAAAACTTTGGCTCAAAGTAAATATAGTAATACAGTTGATAATTGTATTTAATCAATTATAGGAGATAAAACTCTACTGTTCTCATTGAATGAAGCTTAACTTTACCTGGGCAGCCTGTACTAGGCAGCTCACTATTGTACTGCAAAGACTTTAGAATGAATATTCATTGTAGTTACGGGGAAAAAAAAGGCAAATAATAAAGCAATATCATATTGAAGTGGAGCATTTTCCCAGGTTCCCTCTGCTGAGTTCATGCAAGATCCTGAGTGCACACCAAAAGGAGACAGCAGCTGCACTATGTGTGCACCTCCTCTCCTCTTCATTGAGCCATTTAGGGCACAGCTGCTATCAACATGTTTCACTTTTCCCTTAAATCACACTAGATTTTGTCATTTTCATCAACAGATCACGTCTAAAAATACCATCTGTGTAAAAGGGCATTGTTTACTTAATAGCAACAGTTGTCAGAATCTGTTCATTCTCAGTTACCAAACTCAGCTTTCTTTCAAAAACAAAGCAAAAAAAAAAAGATAAATCTCCTCTGAAAATCCTTGGGTTCCTGCTTCAAATCAAGTTCTTACCACTGCTGATTGGTGCAGCTTCAGGTTAAGCAAGCACTACAGTCTGGCTTGCACAGAAAATGTGCTTGCATTACCCCATGGTCACTCTTTCAAAAATCTAGCCTCTTATTCCTAGTTCATACTTTGGAGTTGTGCAGAAAACGTTGCAGTGTGTGCATAAAAATCCTCCTGTGGTCACAGCTCTTGATGTTGGGAGTATGAAGTCTGCAGAACAGGCTGGCCAGACAGAGGAGTGTTGCACAAACCCACAGCACCAGTTCCAGGCTTTCAAGCACTGCTGCCGACTGTTGACAAATCCCCTCTGGATGGGGGCAGTGATCCTCTGCGCCAGCCAAAAATGCGCACAAAACCCTGCCAACCAGCACCTGTCGGAGCAGCAGGGAATCATTTTGCCTCCTGCAGCCAAATTTTGGAGCAGCCCTCATCTCTTATCAACTTCGCATGTTTTCTGGAGGTGTTGGCATTGTTTGCTCCCTGACCGGGGCTCTGCTCCATCAACTCACCCCATCAGCGGTTCCCATGGATCCTTCAGCAGAGCGGGGGGCAGCTGTATGGGTTTGGCTTCTGACTGGTAAATCTGCAAAACCAGCACAGGGAGCAAACCAAGAAGAATCCTTGCCTCGTCATGGGTTTTTCTGGGTACTCAGGTGCTGAAGAGAAGAAGTGTCCCTCATCTCAGGCATTTCAACTGCAAGAGCTCCATGGCCCCAAGCCAGGTGAGGGCTCAGCAGGGCAGGACCCGCTTCCCAACAGAAAGACTGCAAAAACGAGGACTGAGAGGCAAACAAACTTCTGTCATTTAATAACCACTTTCTTCCACAAGCATGCAACAGCAGTTAATGTCTACAAAATAAAGAAACCCTATTGTTTTCCCTTGGGACATAACTTGCACACATGTCAGCGGGACAGCAGGACGGGTCACAGCAATGGAAACGGCTCCCCCAAGGTGTCTGACCCATGCATGGACATGCAGAAACAGCGAAGGAAACCTCTCCTTATCAAACCCAATGTTCCCCGAGGTTTGAGGAGCAGGACATTGTTCTTTGCTTGCAGGTTCTCACTAAACTTTCAGTGTGGTTTCATACTTCACTTTCGTCACAAGCTGTTAATGATCTCTAGAAAGTTAACTTACAGCCTCTGGGATTTTTGGGGGCAGGGTTATTTTGGAGAGTTGATGGAATTTTAATTAATTGACCTTATTGCCACTGGCTGTTTGCTTTGTCAACCATTCCTCAGCACAGCCCAGTTAATGACAGCTCAGGTTCTCTGTGCACAAGGAAGAAAAATCCTTCTCTGGCCATAAACATCTTTCACATAACTCTACAACCACCACAGCTTCAGCCCTTTCCTGCATACGGATCCCAAGTACAAACTTCCCCCAAATCTCTCTGTCCTCTGGCAGCAGAGCGAGCCAGCCCTGCTGGGTGGGGGGGTACCACGTTCTGCCTCTGTTCCACGTGGATTCAGCCTCCTCTGCTCCTAAATCACAGAGGGGTTTACCCCAGTTCGGCAAGAAAGAAAGGGCATAAGCGAGGAATGACAGAGGAGTGGAAAGAAATGCAAGGGTCTTACAAAAACAAACACAAAAAGCCCTGAATCCTGCCATAAGTAAGATACAGCAAGCAATTTGCTGGATACCAGAGGGCATTCGCCAAGTCCCAAGCAACACCTTATCTCACCTGCACAAGACCCTTGTTTTCCTCAAGATCCCTCCTTTTTATTCTCATTTTTCCAAATATACTGCGCTTTGGACCTCTCCCAGCTACTCTCCCACCAGGCTCTGACCCTGTCTCTGCTTACTTTTCCTCACCATGTCCACCTCTTCAGCGCCTCCCACTCTGCCTTCTGCCCTGGGGGACGCAGGGGGCCTTGGCTGACCCATGGTGGACGGCAAGGTGACCTACCAGCAGCGGTGACCAGCAAGCCGAGAGGACACACATGATGCCCAGCAGCTGGATCAGAGTCTCCATGGTGATTCGCCCCCACTCCTTGCTGGAGCGTGATGCTGTTGCTTTGGTCCGACACCGAGACACCAAGGCCTCAATGGTGGCCAGGTTGCAGGCCACCGTCACCAGGAGGGAGAAGAGCCCCAGGACGGCGAAGGTGGAGGCGAAGAACAGGCTCCCTGTGAGCTGGCTGTCGCCAGTGCTGATGAAGCACCATGTGCCTGGCCACTGCAGCGCATAGCGGCCCAGGCCAGTGACAGGCAGCAGGGCGAAGGCACAGCCAGCCAGCCAGATGCTGAGCAGCACCGCCTTCGTCACCTGTGTCTTCATGTGGCTGGCATACCAGTGCGGTGCCCGGATGGCCAGCGTCCTCTCCACGGCCATGGCGCTGGCAATGAAGAGCGGGCAGAGGCCGAAGACTGTCATGCTGAAGCCGAAGAAGGCACAGAGGTGGCCCGAGGGGTCGATGGCATCCCAGGCACGGTCAGACAGGTAGACAGAGATGACGATGGGGCTGGTGAGCAGCTGCCCCAGCAGGTCAGTGAGCGCCAGAGAGCCAATGCACAGCAGGAAAGAGCGCTTCCGCCGGCTCTCCTTGGCCCGGTAGCTGCGGGACACCAGTAGCATGGCCAGGGCATTGCCCACCACTCCGGTGATCATCATGGTCAGC